ATTTAAGTTTTTCAACATGTGGTGTCAGGCAGAAGGGTTCCAAGAGGTGGTACAGGAGAGTTGGGGTATACCAGTGAAGGGGAATAAGATGTTTCAACTGGTTACAAAATTGAAAAGATTGAAACCAGTTTTGAAGCAATTAAATAGAACCATGTTCTCTGATATTCAGAACCAGGCTCAGGGTTTGTTTACACGGTTAACAGAAGTACATGAGAGGATACATAATAGCCCTGGTGATGAAGCTCTACATCTGTTGGAAAAGGAGATTTATCAGCAGTATGTAACGTCTAGCAAAGCAGCTGAAAGTTTCTTGCAGCAAAAAACGTAGGAAAACTGGATAAAACTGGGTGATTCTAACTCAACCTACTTTCATTCGAGATTAAGGATGAGAACTATGAAAAACAGAATATGTTCAATCATGGCTAGTGATTCGAGATCATTTTATTGATTTTTTCTGCAAGCAGTCGGGTCAGAGCAGTTTGAGAAAGCAATCAGAGGATGTGGTATGTAGAAGTGGACCTGTTTTAGAATGGCAGCAGCAAGTCAGGTTGTTGTGAAAAGTGACGCTGGAAGAGATTAAGCAGGCCATATGGGGGATCTATAGTACCAAGAGCCCAGGCCTTGATGGGTATGAGAGTGGGTTTTACAAGGGTGCTTGGAATGTAGTGAAAGAAGACATTGAGCAGGCTGTGTTGGAGCTTTTTGAAGAAAGGAAGATCTTGAAACAAGTCAATTCGATAGTACTGGCGGTGATCCCTAAAACTGACAACCCTCAGAATGCTGCTGAGTATCGTCCCATTGCGTGCTGCAATGTTATCTATAAGGTGATCTCTACAATTATATGCAATAGATTGAAGGAGGTGCTTCCTGTTTTGGTTGATTCTAACCAAAGTGCTTTCGTAAGTAAGTGACTTATATTGCACAATATTTTATTGACACAAGAATTGGTTCGGTTATATGGTAGAAAGAATGTGAGTGGCAGGTGCTTTTAAAGATTGATATCAAAAAGGCGTATGACTAGGTGGAATGGAGTTTCATTGAAGAAATGCTGTTAGGGTTTGGCTTTCCGGAATCACTGACAGGGAAAAGTCATGGAGTGTATTACAACAACCAGCTATTCAGTAAACCTCAATGGGGAAACTTGTGGATTCTTTCAAGGTCAGAGGGGTCTACGCCAGGGGGATCCTATATCCCCGTTGATCTTCGTGCTGGTTATGGAGTATTTAACCCGCCAAATGAAGATAATTGCAGATGATAATAAATTCCAGTTCCATCCTTATTGTACACGTATGAGACTTACTTATATCTGCTTTGCAGATGATCTTATGATCTTCTGTAAAGCAGATGCTTATACCTTACAGAAAATTAGGGGTTTAGGGAAACCTCAATGCTTATTGAGTCAGTTTTCTGAAACAACTGGACTAGTAGCTAATGTCAGGAAGTCAAATATTTATGTTGGAGGAGGATCAGGTGATTTAAAGGAGAAATTGTGTAGTATTACAGGATTTGAAAAGGGAAAGTTCCCTATGAAGTATCTGGGGGTGCCTCTGTTCCCTAGAAAATGGAACCAATTGGAATGTGAGATCCTTGTTCAGAGAATTACAGCCAGGATAAGATGTTGGAGCACCAAGCATGTTAGCTATGCTGGAAGACTTCAGTTAGTCAACTCAGTACTGATGAGTATGAGCAACTTCTGGGCTCAGGTCTTCATATTGCCACAAAGTGTGACACAACAGATTAATAGAGTATGCAGGAGCTTTCTATGGGGAGTTAAAGAATTAGGCAAGAGTTTAGCCTTGATCAGTTGGGACCAAATTTGCTGGCCCAAGAAAGAGGGAGGTCTGAGTATCAAGGATGCTAAGCTATGGAATGAAGCAGCGTTACTTAAACAGGTCTATAGTTTGGCTAACTCTAAAGAAAACTTACAGATCAAGTCGATCCATGAAATTTATATAAAGAAGAAGAGCTTCTGGGAGATTCAAGCACCTACTGATGCAAGCTGGCATTGGAAGCAGTTGCCTAAATTGAGGGATAAGGCGAAGGATCAGTTCACAGGGACTAAGTGGAATCACATTGAGTCAGGTAAGTACACTATGTCTTCTAGATATAAGTGGCTTATAGGGGAGACAGAAAGATTTCAGGCAGTTATGACACAAAAATATATACCTTTTTTTGATAGCATTTTCTACTCATTTCTACCTTTAATTTAATGTCAATTAGTTAGGATTAGTTTACTTTTAGGGTGATTTTGCAGTTCAGGAATCTCAAGGGGGCCAATGTAGAAATTCAGCATGAATGAGGACCAAATTGCACTAAAAGGCATAAAAAGGGACTGGAACTAGAGACTGCTGGAATTGAGCTGCTGGAGCTGAAGCTACCGGAATTGGAGCTGATGGAAGAACTGATCAAAGCTGGGAGCAAGTGGAGAAATCCTTGCTGCTGAAGGAAGATTGATAACAAATGGAAGCAAGTGGAAAAATCTGATGCAGCATACTCAATTAGAGGAAGAATGGTAGCTGTTCTACTGTTCTGATCTCTGCTACAGAAGCTGTTGCTACTGTCAATTGAAGAAGAAGAGCCACTAGCCGAGAATCTTGATGTCCAAGGAAGGAAATTGCTTTGCCATCAGTGCAAGTTGTTGATTGCTGCAACTGGAAGAAGAGAAAGAGGGAGAATATGTGATAAGCAGTAGCTGCAACTCTGCTACTTACCCACTGATGCTGCTGCTGAGTTGATGGATTGGCTGCTGCTGAAGGGTGGGCAATGACATCGAAAGTGACCCAGGAAACAAGGAAGAAAAGGGCAGAAGAATCAGGCTGAATTGGGGGCTGAAGACATAATGATGGAAGGAAGCATGCTGCTGATGCTGACTATTGCTGTTGAATTGGCTGCTGAGGATTAAAAAATGAAGAAATAGAGACTGGTGGCTAAGAATAGGAGCAACTGCGCCAGAGAAGAAGACTAAGGAAAGAAGGCAATGATGAGAGGAAGGTGACTAATTGCGGCTGAAGAAAAGGAGTAGCCAACAAGAAGGCTACAACTTGCCTAGTAGGCAAGTTGCAGAATAAACAACTCTCTACTACTGCTGCAAGTTGCTGCCTCACATTTCGGTTGCAGAAAAGAAGGCTAGAACTCTACAAATCCAAGCCTCTCCAAATTTCTGTTAATACCTAGCCAATATCAGTAGAAAAGAGAGAGATCGGGTAGTTAGACTTAGTCCTAAAGACAGTAGTTAGGTAGGTAGTTAGTTGGTTAGAAACAGGGTAGTAGCAGGAACAAGGCAGACTGTCACTCTGTCAAGTGGCGAATGCCACTCACCTTAGTGAGCAGACATAACTGTCCCTGCTACCATCTTTCCTTTCTTTCCTCTAACCTTTGAGTAGGATTCATGTCCTATCTTCTGTACTCTGTTACTCTCATGCTTAACTCAATAAGCATGAGTAGCTAACTTAGTTAAGGGTTTAATCCCTACTATCTATATGTGAAGGTTTTGATTCAGTCTCCTCGATGAGGTGTTGTGCCTAGATAAGTGCTTAAATTTACCATTTAATTAACTTGATCAATTAATTAAAAGTGCATGTATGGTTATGAAGATCTGGAAGGGAGCGCCTTAGAACTTATTAATCTAGTATATGACAAAGGAAGAATTCTACCCCTTTGGTTTCATCTACCAACGAAAGTTCGGAGGTGGCATAGGCGATATATAAGGGCTTAAGAACTCAATGGCCGGATTAAATAGGACTCTGACTGGGTTGATAATCTCGGACTTTTTACTCTATCTTGACGGCATTGTAGAGATACATAGGTGCTTGATCGAACAACTAATCATACGCTATAGGAGTATTGAATCAAAACTGGATCATAAAGGTAGGAAGGTGATTGACCGTTACTGCCTACTCACTCTGTCAAGTGACATTTCTCGCTCTCCCAAGTGGCAAACTCTCTAACTAGTTCTTTTCTGACTTACATTTTAATCAGATTTTGAGCGGTTAACTGTCGTCCCTGTGTAACGACCCTGCTTACCACTAGCTAATAGTTTTAAGTAGGTTTATAAATTATTCTTTTGGAGAATGATTCCAACGACAAAGCATAAATAGCTGTCAACAAGTCTTCAAAATCTTCATCCACCAGGCAACACCATTTGTATGGTCGAGATAGAATGTACCGAAACATTGATTCATTTTGTGGTTAGTACGGAGGAGGTGATTATTGACAAAAGAAAGGATGATTAGAATGCATGTAGCTCAAGTTGATCCTACCTGCAGTCTCTATCAGTATCAAAATGAAACACCTGAGCATTTATTTTTTCAATGTGAATTTTTGCTGCTTTGTTAGACAGCCTGGTCCACTGGCTGAAGATTGCTGGAATGCCTCAAAAGCAGGATAGATGGAGGATCAGAGTGAGGAAGATTTGGAGAACCACTCAGTTAAAGAAGAATATAGTGAGATCTGCTATGGCAGCCCTGATTTACCACTTGTGGGAGGAGAGAAATGCGCGTTTATTTGATGCTAAACAGAGAACAGTAGAGATGATCCTGATGGTGATTAAAAGAGAACTCCAATGGCGTTTAGAGTACTGTTTGGGCCCTAAGAAGTCAAGAATAGAAAAAGTGCTGCTAGGCCAGTTTTTTGATATGTAAGTTTGTTTTGGGAAGTTGTATATATCAGAGTAGGTAGACAGCAACAGTGGACTTTTTGGTTGTAAATATGCACCCTCCTGTTTTGATTCTCAATATATTTACATATTACCCAAAAAAAAAAAAAAAAAACCTTCATGCAAATTCGGAGCTCGTAATATTCAGGTTTTTTTTTGTATGTTGATGCATCTGAATCATTGTTATCGTCGTCTTCCATCACAACGTCAAAATGCTTCTCAATTAAAGATGGTTTCTTTGTAGTAGATATCACTGGATGCAAGGCGAGAAATTATGGAGAGTTTCAATGAATATATCGAAATCATGTCCTCAAACGTTACTGAAATCAAGGGGTTTTTCATGTTCTCAGTTGTGAGTCCATAGCATCGACATGCTCGTATAAACCTGTAAGTCATACAACTATGACAAAGCTTGCAGGGAAAGAGTTGAGAGCCTAAGGTGAACGACCAAAATTATTTAAAAAGTTTTAGCAGAACCACAAAGGAACTAGAAAAGATAAGAATAGTAACCTACGGGAGTCATAAAGGACTACATTAAACTAGATGGCGCAACCTTAAAACTAAAGGCATTATATATTCTTGTCCACTGAAGTTCCGAATGCCATCTTTTACAGCCACAAATGCACACACAATCAGTCACTGGGAACACACAAATTACTAGAAAACCTTATTAAACCAAACATCACAGTCAGGACAGGGATGGTTGAACCAATTTGCATATAGAAAAACATTCCTTTTTCATCTTTTAACGCCTTGCAACAATTTAAGACTGATAAAATGAAAGCTTACAAAAAGTTCTGGCAGACTTCAAAAAAGATAAAACAGAAAAATTAAAAAAAAAATTGCGAAAGAAGGTTCTGGAAACCTTGTTTCCCCACATAAGCCCACATGCATTGCATAGAGTTCTTGGTCCTGCAGGACCACGCCGCATCGCTGGAGTAGAACTCTCAGCCACACCACAGTGGTGACACCTCCGGAGACTGAATTAGCAGAATTTGGTAGCAACTAGCTTTAGGAAGAGAAAGAACCAGCAAGTTTCAAAGACTATAGCGAAGAACCCATATTAAGATGATATAACTCACGCAGCTCCTGGAAGAGATGTATTATCTTCCTGGGAGCTACCCTTTGGCGTGTCCCAAATGGATGATTCGGAACCTTCTCTGACTGACGCAAATTGACCTTTCATGCGATGCATTCTGGTAGAGATGCAAGGTCAAGTTACATAAAGAGAGAATCAATATGCAACCACATGTATGGAGCTAGTAAAGCAAATGATGGAAACTCAGGGACAATTGATACCAATGAAGTAGATGTAACATTAACCAAAATACAATTCCACAACTTGAAAAAAAAAAAAAAAGAAAAAGAAAGATTAAGTGTGGTCTAACCTTTGAGCAACTTCGTTGTTAACGCTGTACCTAATTTTCTTCTCAAAGCAACTCTCCTTCCTTTTCTCACGAAATCTTACCAGAGAGGCTACCTTTGTGATAAATTGGAACTCTTAGGTGTATCATCAATATACTGAAAGGATTATTGAGCTTAAAACATTAATCAAATCTGTAATAAAAGATGGACATTGACTTGGTCATGTTTTGTAAAAGGTAAACGTTTAATTTGATGCTATACAACGATGAAACTACCTTGTTAGTTGAACCGTACGGGACATCAGTGCGAGGGAGAGCCATAGGTGAGTCGACACTACCCCAAAGCAACAAAACTGCTTGCACCTGTTTTTATAGTGTACAGTGAAAATCACATTTTAATGATCAGAAACAGAGAACAACAATCAAATTAAACAAACTTCCCGCATCAATCGAAGTATAACCGATCATTAGGATAACCAAAAACAAAATTAAAAAAAAAAGTATAACTAATGAAAGCTCACTAGTCCTCCGCGCAACCACTTCAACACTTCCACCTCCACTCCTACCTCCTTCACGGTGGCCGTGGCGACGCTGGAAACGATACCTACCACCCGGCGAGCTGAAAGGAACCTCGTCGGCGTCATCCATGATGTCATCGCCGCCGCTGTCATCATCATCATCATCATCATCTAAATCGAACTCTACACGCAGCGCAACCGCGAAGTCATCGCGAGGGTGCGCGCACCTTCATTGGCTTGGGGATCGCCGCCATAAATCACAGTCTCCAATCTGTATGTGATGGTTACTCACGTATACCTTACGTATACCTTACGTTCACCATAGAAATCAGAAAATCAAAGCTCTGTTCTTCTTCCACTACTGTTTCATTATCTCTCTCACGCGCATACACACACTGATACGCACGTGTGCAGCCAAAACACAGAAAAGTGAATTATCAATTATCCATTACTTGTTTGGAAAGGATATAAATGGAAAAAGAAAAACAAAAATAATATTGGCGCCTGGAAAAAGGTTAAAAAGTGTAAGAATTAGATGGTTATGATCTTCTTGTCATTTTTCTTTGTAAAATTTACCTCGCACCAATCATTATCCATCTTAAAATAATAAGAAATATCATGTGTAACGAGAGATGGTCTTAAAACAAGAGACATTAGTCTTTTTTTGGAAACTACAAGAGATAATTAGTCATTTTAGGAAATCTTGGGGGAGCATTAATAGTCTTTGCCCTATCCTAATCCTAAGAAAGAAAAGAACATCTATATCCTTTTAATTGAGGGATGAATATATGTATGTGTTTTTCACAATAATTTAGTATACTTGGACTTGCTCTTCTTCTATTCTCTTATATTGATCTTTGTAACCCCAAATAATGGGATACGGATTGATCTGGAAGGTCCTCTTTTAATGTTATTGGCGTATGATCTCCAGAAAGAGTATGTTTTCTTGAAACTTTTGTTTTTATTGTAATTTTGTTTCATCGGTTTCCTTTTTGGATGTCTTTACAAGGTTCTGAATCTCTTCTCTATTCTTTTGCAGACTACCTGTACTTGGGCGGCACTGGTTGAACAAAGCGTTGCGCTTAGTCAATAAAGACAGAGGCAGCGAAATTGGTGATGACGTCGATTAATTACGGTCAGCGAGGAAATTAGGGTTCCTGGCGGCTAATTGAATTAGGGTTTGGGTTTTTTGCCATCTTTTCCTAAGAGAGTATTGGGGCTGTTTACTTTAATTAAAAAAGTTGGCTATTTTCTATGACAATAAGGCATTCAAGAATATTTTAAAATAATTCTGAGCTGCAAATAACATATTCTTGAGAGATAGAATTTTTGTTTCAAACTCTTGGCATTTATACGCCACGTTCTAAATTGTCCACACCAAGATATTTAAGAAGAAAGTTGCACCTCATTTGTGGCCTCTCTCTTTTTACTAAATTCTTGTAGAATAACAGAAAATTGAAGAACAAAAATGAAAGTAGTGAACTAGACCCCAAAAAGATCCCAAAAATAAATAAATAAATAAAAATGGTGAAGTGTATGCGAACAGATATGATATACCGCAGCATTAATGATAGAAAACCAGAGTTGCTGCCTAAACTTCTGACCCTTCCAGCATCTCAACAGACTGTGCACTCTATCCCTTAGACAGTATATACTCACATTCACTTTCAGCCAAGCAGTAATACAGTTGATGAGTTCCTGAGAGTACTTACATTGGAAAAATAGATGATCAGTATGTTCTTCTACCTCTTCACATAACTCACAGTGAATTGGACCCTGCAGCAATCTAAGGTTTACCATTCTTTGCTGAGTTAACAGCCTATCTTTCAGAGCCAACCAACAAATAATACTAAGTTTTGGAACGGCAAAATTACTCCAAATAAGCTTTGAAGATACCTGCTTTGGCCTGTTACCTGTGAGCCATCTGTAACTTGATTTAGCTGTGTATGGTTTGCCACCATTCCCAGTCCATCTGCCATTCACGACTGCTGCTTTTAACTCTTCTCTAACCCTTAAAAGCTTCTTCCAATGCCAGCTGTTGTCCAAGTGAGGATTATACTCCCATATGCTCTTCTTTTTTAAGTAGTATATATGGATCCATTGGATCCATAAGCTTTCTTTATTAGCTGCTAAGTCCTATATCTGTTTGCCTACTAAAGCCTTGTTCCAAATTCCTGGCCTTCTGATACTCAATCCTCCTTCTGCTTTTGTTTTGCAAACCTCCTCCCAAGCTACTAAAGGTCAGCTTCTGCCACTTTCTTTTACTCCCCATAAGAACTCTCTACATTTTCTTTCAACTTGCTGAATTACTGACTGTGGCAATAAGAAAATACCAGACCAATACATGTGCAGATTCATCAACACAGAATTTATAAGTACCAGTCTACCAGCATATGAAAGATGCCGTGTAGACCAGCATCTTATTTTCACAGTAATTTTATCCACAATGCTCTGACAATCCTCTTGATTCCAGGCAGTAGGAGAGATAGGAGCCCCTAAATATCTAACAGGAAGGTACCAGTCTAAAAACCCAATATTCATTTGATCTGTTCTTGCATTGTATCACTGACCCCTCCAAAATATATACTTGATTTCTGTACGTTGAAATTCAGCCCTGTGGTCTTGGAAAATTCTTCCAATATCTTCCTGATCTCCTTGACTTTCCCCAGATCAGCCTCACAGACAATTATTAGGTCATCTGCAAAGCTGAGATTAGTAATTCTTAGCTTTTCGTAGAATGGGTGAAACTTGAAATCCTTCTTAGACTCCTCCTTGAAAATCCTATTAAGGAACTCCATAACCAGCACGAAAAGTAGCGGCGAAAGCGGATCACCTTGCCGTGAACCTCTTTTCCCTGGAAAGTAGCCGGCGCTATTTCCATTCCGATTAAGTGAGTAACTACTTGTAGTTACACACTCCATTACCCAGTTGATGAACACATCAGGGAATTGATATTCACTGAGCATCTCCCTTACAAAATCCCAATGGACAGAATCAAACGCTTTTTGTAAGTCCACCTTTATCAAACAGCTGGGTTTTGTAGTTTTCCTTCTATACAACCGAACTAACTCCTGCGTAAGGAGGATTTTGTGCAATATAGACCTATTTTTAACAAGGGTGCCCTGATTCAAGTCCATTATTGCTGGCAGAACCTCACTGAGACGCTTACTAAGTAGTTTAGATATGCCTTTATATATTGTGTTATAACACAAAATTGGCCCATATTCTGAGGCATCTTTTGGAGCACTATTTTTTGGTATTAGAGGCACTAGGGTAGCATTTAGTTGTTTTAGTAGCTTCCCTTCTCTAAAAAATTCTAGGACAGCCTTACATATATCCTCGTCTACAATCCCCCACTTTTTAAAAAAATTCACTCCCACACCCATCAGGCCCGAGACTTTTCTGACTATCTATACTAAATATAGATTCCTTAATATCTTTCCTAGTGAACTTTTGAACCAAGAGGATCTGCTGATCAACAGTCAGCTTGAGCCCAGATTCAAAAGGTTCACTTGACACTGGAATTCTATCAACTGAAACTCCTAGCAATTTTTCAAAATATTCAACAAAGTGGGCTTGTACCTGATCCCATTGTTCTATGAGGTTTCCAGCTTGATCTATAAATGAGATGATCTTATTGTGGCTTCTCTGCTGCCTCAGGCTGGCATGAAAGTATCGAGAGTTTAGATCACCCTCCTGGATCCACTTCCCCCTGAGCTTTTGCTTCCAATAACTCTGTAATGCTTTAACTGCCTCAGCATAGCTTTTTGTACAATCCTTCTCTTGCATTTGAAGATCATGGTTCAGCTGACCCCTTCCCAAACTTAGCTGAACTTTTTCTAAGTTCTCTTGTAAGCATCGGACTCTATCCTCAATATCACTGTAATGTTCATAGTTGAGCTATTTGAGAACACTTTTCAGTCGTTGCAGCTTTTTAACCAATCTGAATCGGGCTGTACCATCCACCTCCTACTGCCAGGAAGATTGTACTACTGCTGTGAAGTTGGGGTGCAGGGTCCACATATTGAAAAAGTTAAATGCTTTCCTCTTGACTACCTGATGATTGTTCCACCTGACCAGTAATGGACAAAGATCAGACAAACCAGGAGTCATTACTGTTACATATGACACTGAAAATACTTCAATTCACTCTTCATTCTTAAAAGCTCTTTCTAGCTTAAAAAAATTCTACAGCTTCTCATCTGCTTATTAGACCATGTGAATCTGCTACCATGTGTCTTCATTTCTATCCATTCACATGCTTCTACTACCAATCAAAATATTTCTGTGTCTGCACTGCAACTATTAGTCCCCCTAGCTTATCTTCCGGTGATAGAATACTATTGAAGTCACCTAAGATCAGCCAAGGGTTTTTAATCTGATCTACTTTACTAAGAAGATCATTCCATAGTTCAACCCTTCCCTGGGCCTGATGTTCTGCGTATACAACAGTTATTTCAAACTCGTTGCTGCTTCCTACTTCCTTGCCTGTTCCATGTATCCACTGTTAAACAATTGTGATATTTTCCACTTTATACACCCCTTTTCGCCATATCAATAAAATTATTCCTTTTTCTTGCTGTTGATGATTACTCAGAAATTCATATTGACTCTACTTCTCCATTATCTCCTCCACCTTGCATTTATTTTTGTTTCTAAAAGACCAGCTATTCCTACATTTCTAGAGAGAAAGTTGCCTATCTCTCTATGTTTCAGGGGACTATTTAGTCCCCTTACGTTCCAACTAAGTATACTCATGGGCACTAGTCCCTACAAGAGGGGATCAAGCTTCACCAACCTTGAATCTGCCTGTTTGCTTCTGTTTTGCAACTGCTTTCCCAGTATTATTTTTCATATCCTTTCTTGCTTGAAACCGCAGGTTCCCGTTGCCTTGATCAAGAGATTCAGCTTCCTGCATTGGCTGTTTTAATTTCTTCTCTTGCATTACTAAACTTCCTTCAGTTATATCTTGTTAAGACCGGTCCTTATCAACATTATTCCCTTTCTAACTGTTCTCAATTTTAGTGGGTTCCTGCTGCTTTTCAGTTTGATCTAGGTCGCCTTTGCCATTGTTGCTGCCAAGGATGGTATTTCCTTGTCAGTCTGCCCTTTTGCTTGCTTTCCTTTCCAAGCCTTTG